TGCTAAAAGTCATCAGAAATCCATGCACAGGATGCACGAAATTTAAATACATCATTTCATCCTTAAATATTGTTATGAGTAGCTAACAACAATAGTTCCCATATTGCATTTTGCAGAGTGTTAGTTATTAATAAGATCATACAAAAACATAACACTAGATCAATCGAATCCATCTTAAAGACATTCACAGAGAACTTGCGATATGTGTTCTTTTACAAGACGTTATTAACATAAAGGAATCCTGACGAAGGACTATACACTTTAGACCCCTATATAGTAACCCCCGTCGTAGACGATTAAAAATTTGTTACGGAAAATCCTATCAGGTTCCAGATTTACTAGAGCATCTTCCTACTATAGCATGCTACTACACTTAGGGTCAAAATCAGGGATTGATCAGCAACCCCTGTTTACAGCATTTTACAGTTTGCCCTATTAACTGATGTATTCTTGATGTAGATATACTATTTCAACCCTGTAACAGTATACTCTATTAAGCTTAGTCTAGTTCTAGGAATACCTTATCCGAACCCTTTTACGGTATGCTCCATTGAGCCTTATCTGGTCCCAATGTGGAAACCCTAACTGAACTACATAGAGTATATTAGGTACAAATGTTTTAAGGCGTTATTTTTCTGTGTTAAGTCCCAGATTACACAATTTAATCAGGGCCAGATTTTGTACCCTAAGCAGGTCCATACAGGGTTCGCCTACCAGGACCAACTGTGGGTTACATTTCTGATTATCTTATTCGGTTCCTAACATAAATAGAATATTCTTCTTGCTGTCTAATTGTAAATCAGAAAACGAGAAATAATCATGTACAGATTTCGTACAACTTCAAATTAAGAAATTTCTAGTACCTACATACAAATAAATAATCGTTTAACGAATTGTAAAACAAAAACAAAAAGGTGTTACATAAATTGACGAACAATCGTTTAGGTGTGCATACTTGTATTTAATTACCGGTAAAATCAACAAAGTATTTATGCAATATTTGTCGCTGACTGGCACGACGAACGGTGAAGATATGGTAAACTTATTGCAGCATGTTTTTAAAATCATACAAAACATCAATTTTAAGGTTTATAGTTTTGTGTCACAGCTTGTAAATAAATGTGCCATCCGTTACGCAGCCTGCGAACTTACGCACAAACATTTTATTCCACGGTTGCTAACAATAAAATTATGCGTTTGTAATTTCTTGCAACTTAAATGTGATATCTACCGATTCCGGAGTAACAGTGAATTGTCGTTGAATTGTAGTTTCAAACAAGTTATAGGAAATTTCTTTAAATATTTCCATTTTTTTTAAGTTACATAGAAATAGACGTAGAATTGAAGTATTTATACAAAGAAAAAATATGCAATATTCAACTTGAATAATATTAAGCATTTAGTTATACAAAAATTATACTTGATTAATTATCTATGACTAGCATATACATATATATATATATATATATATATAATCTTGTATGTTGTTTTTCCATGAAAAAGGTATCAATATTTTAATAACTCCTAACAGTTTACATTTAAATCCAAATGCCACTGCCGAACCGGCTTAAGCGAACATTCGTGTTAAGTATATGTTACCGGAAATCCAAGAATTGTATTATATAATACAATACCTCACTCTAAAAAACTGCCATTTGAATTTAAATGTATATTGTTAGATATTCCTAAGAAATGTTTACAATTCCGAGGCTATTTAGGAAATGTATAAAATATTGCTTCAAAGATTTTTCAATACACACATATTTTAGGAAATGCATACATTTCCTAGGAAGTGTACGAAATTCCGATATTGTACTAGGAAATATATAAAAATATATAATGCTTTCTGTGAATATATATTCTGATTCGTTATGTTGAGCTCTACAACATACTAAAATTTCAAGGACATTGGTCGTATACAAGCATATATGTTGGGGGCGGAAATCATAATGAAGAATATTTCTCGAAGATATTACTGTAATATATCAGCCTACCTCCGGCCGGCAGGGACTTT